AGACTATAGAACTTCCCTAAAATAATTCCTAAAGCAGATCTTTTTAGGAAAAAATCCAGTCTTGATTTTAAAATTGGTAGTGATGGAGAATCCACCATAACCCTTGGTAAATAGTTTCAGTGGTTAATTACCCTCATTTAAAAAAAACTTATGCACAACTTCCAGTATGAGTTTTGTCTAGCATCAACTTCCAATCATTGGATCGTGTTATACCTTTGTCTGCTTGATTGAAGAGCCCATTATCAAATATTTGTTCCCTGTGTAGGTATTTATAATCTGTGATCAAGTCACCCGTTAACCTTCAGTTCGTTAGATTCAAAGAGCTCAATCTATTTAGTTTATCACTATAAGGCATAAATTTCTAATCCTGTAATCCTTCTTGTGGCTGTTCTCTGAACTCTGCAATTTATCAACTTCTTGAAGTATGGACCCCAGAACTAGACATAGTATACCAGTAGCAGTTACACCAGTGTCAAATACAGAGGTAAAATAGTCTCAAATCGGAGTAGAGAGGTTTTCTTCTTTATACATCCAGGGATCACATTAGCCCTTTTGACCACCGCATCACACTGCAAGCTCGTGTACAGCTGATTATGTTCCACAACCCACAAATATTTTTGAGAGTCACTGCTTCTCAGTATAGAGTCCCCCATTCTGTAAGTATACTCTATGTTCTTTGTTCCTAGATGTTTATATTTACATTTAGCCCTATTAAAATGCATATTTACATCTGCCCATCTTACCAGGCGGTCCAGATCATTCTTTATCAATGACCAGTCCCTTTTTTAGCACTTCCCCAATCTTTGTGTCATCTACAGACTTTATTGGTGATGATTTTATGTTTTATTGCTGGTCATTGATAAAACTGTTAAATGGTATAGGGCCAAGAACCAATCCCTTCAGGACCCCAAAAGAAATATACCTGTTTGATGACAATTCCCCATTTAAAGTTACATTTTGAGACCTATCAGTTGGCCAGTTTTTAATCCATTTAATGTTTGCCATGTTAGTTTTGTATCTTTCTAGGTTTTTAATCAAAATGTTATGTGGTACCAAGTCAATTGCCTTACAGAAATCTAAGTATATTACCTCAACACTATTACCTTCAACCCAAGCTTGTGATCTCATTTAAAAAAAAAATAAAAATCCAGTTTTTTTTGCAGGATCTATTTGATATAATCCGATGTTGATTGGCATTAATTATATTACCCTCCTTTTAATTCTTTGAGTCCCGCATCTAATTTAATTCTTTGAGTCCATTATCTTGCCTGGGATCGATGTTAGGCTGGCAGGACTATAATTACACAGGTCATCGGGTTAATTGTCAATATAAAGAAAGGTAAAATTACCTGAGCTATTGACTTGACCCTGTTTGCAACCTATATAATCATAGCAGGTCAGATTCAAGGATTGATAATTTAGGCTATATTTGAAGAAATTAGATTGTAATAAAGCTATGCACAAGAGTTTATTGAATATTACCAATATAAAAAGTTTGTGGTGGGCAGTTGTTAAGGTCATTTATGATAAAGAAAAGACTGATAGATACTAATTTTTTTTTTAATTTTTTTTAAGGACTCTGTTTTTAATTAACTCCTAAACCGATGGATTTACTTGTAAATAATTCTCAAAATACATTCTAGGCTCAAAATGTGTTCGATTTGGAGAAGATGCATTGTATTCTCATTCATAAGAGGTTGAATCTCTGCTCTAAGTGCAAAGCAAAACTAAAATTTCAAATTGAAACCATGATTGATACTTCCATATAATTAATATAATCCCATTTTCACATCTGAGTGACCTCCTGTCCCACTGTAGTGTGTATTCAGTGTCTTAGATACCTTCTACATTTAGCAAATAACCGTAAAGGACACGCATACTGAAAGCAGTATCTGTCTTTTGAAAACCAGCAGCTCTGGGACTTTTGTGTGTGTGAAAAAGAGAGTGTGTGTAAAAACACTACATTTCAGCAAAAATGGCTAAAGTTTACTCAATTCTCAGATAACTGTCTTAATCTCTCTCTCCATTTCCACTGTTTCACTGTTCCCTTTGTGTCTTCAGGTTGTATTCTATGCTGCTTTGTGTACGTGGGCCAGCCTCCCAACCAACATAGGCAGATTTCCCTTAGTTCTGCACTAAAGGATTCTGCAAGCCTTTCCCCCCATCTCCCCCCCCCTTGTTTTCTGATGCACTCTGTCTACATTTGGCTCCCTCATCACTGTCTCAGTATAGTTCTGTTTCAGTTTCTGCTCTTAGACTGTAATCCTGTAGTAGCAGAGGACCAGTTTTGCTCTTCTATTATAGAGCTGTATAATAATGAAACATTTTAAATTTGGCCTGAACTTCTCTAACAAGTTCAGGGACAATGTAAAAATAAAGCTGGTTGATGTCTTCCTTGTGAACATCTGAGGCTTAGCAGAGTTTAATGCAGAGCCTGCTCTGACATGCCAGTTCTCCCTGCCCACTCTGACACGTCCAGGGGCTGCTATTCTTAAGCAGCTGCTGTGAGAGTAGTTGGTGAGGTAAGCTGTAGAAGTCTCATTGGAACTTGGAAGTAGAAATACTCAAAACAAAATAAAACATGTCTTAGCCTCCTGGACAGAAGAAAACCATGGGTGTATAATATCACGGCTATGTGACTTTTAGTGTGTCTGCTGCTTGGTTAGCTTTTGGAATTTGCAGAAAGCACTAGCATTTTTGTCCTTTGAGAAGACAATTGCAGCAGCAGTAAAGATGAGATCTAGCCCCTTCCTCATATAATTTAACTCTATAGGGTATGAATTTCAGTGTTGGTGGTGGAGAGTGTCATTCAAGAGGGAATGCATGGCCACAGGTGTGGTGATGAAATAAAATGCTGATAACTAATAAACCAAAATATGTCATTTGGCAAGCATTAAATGGGACTCTAGTCATCAATCTCTCTCATCTCTTAGACAATTTAAAGTGACATGACATATATATTGGAGACAAGGTGGTGGGTGAGGTAGTATCTTTTATTGGACTAACTTCTATTGAGGAGAGAGACAAGCTTACACAGAACTCTTCTTCAGGTCAAAATGTTTCTGTAATATCCTGGGACCAACATGGCTACAACAACACTGCATATGAAAGAAATAGAGCATTTAAACTAAGCAAAGGTTATTATAAAACAAAACTTGATGGTTTGAGTCTGTTGGCTAGAGCAAACTAGGAAATGTGTGAACTCTTGTAAGAAATGAAGAGAACTGTTTTGAATGGTGAGTAGCAGGCATACTAATTATTTGAGGAAAAATTGGACGAGTCCAATGGTGAGTTTAAAAGGTTATTATTTTATGCTTGAGCTGTCAGTTGCCTTTTTGGAAGTCTGAAGAGAAACTTTCACTGATGCTTCCCTCATCCAGAGTGGTGACATTGTTTTTTGTGTGTGCAAGTTTGTACTGTTGTCCTCTGGCAAAAAGACAAAAACACACATACAAGAGCACAAGTTTTTTAACTGCTTGAAAAGGTCCTTTTTTTTTTTTTTAAAGACGTCCCATTGACTTCAGTGCAGTGGATCAGTTGAGTAAAGTTACATAAGTGTTTTCAGGATCTGGCCCTAATTACAGAGTAGGACCAAAGGACTTAGAACAGAGAAGGAATGAAGAAGAAGTGAGGAAGAGGAGGAAGACAATAAGATTAAGTGTTTACATGGGAGGCTAACATTCATGTCTTGTTTCAGAGTAACAGCCGTGTTAGTCTGTATTCGCAAAAAGAAAAGGAGTACTTGTGGCACCTTAGAGACTAACCAATTTATTTGAGCATGAGCTTTCGTGAGCTACAGCTCACTTCATCGGATGCATACTGTGGTTTCCATCCGATGAAGTGAGCTGTAGCTCACGAAAGCTCATGCTCAAATAAATTGGTTAGTCTCTAAGGTGCCACAAGTACTCCTTTTCTTTATTCATGTCTTGGTAACCAGAGCTTTTGGGGTTTAGTTACTCGTAAAGCCTGTACACCCAGCTCAATAACTACTAGGAGGTGATTGGAAAATACTTATTGAAGTATTTGTATCATAACTTCTGTGTGAAGAATGCAACAAAGTATATAACTAAATATAATTTGGTAGCTTTTAAATTGTTATATTTCAGTCCAATTTTTTTGGTTCTTTGGAATAAAAAGACAGTGGATTTTTTATCTTTATAGTTGCTTGTTAAGTAAATACCTGGATGTGCCAACCTTGCTTTCAAATTTAATTTCTGAAATGAATTGAAAAATATAGACTCTCCATTACTTTCAGATGAGTGTGGTTGTTGCATGATATCACTACAGGGCAGAGTTAAAGTTTCTGCTAAAGGACAAACTTTTAGCCACAAAGAACGATGAGTTGGGTCTAAAAGACAATTCATCCTTTACATTTTTATTTTTTAAGTCTTCACAAGATTTCAGTGAATCCTTAACTATATGGGAAATTTGAAGAGTCTGACAAGGAACAGTTAAGGTTGTTTTGGCAGGACTGCACAGATTGTTTTTGGCACTTTGGGCAAAATCAGAAACTGAGGCCCTCTGCCTTTCCAAAAAAGTTACCAGTGAGGTGAGGCCCAGCAGGAGGGGATTGGAGATTGAGCCCACACTTAACCTGGTGCTGTGGCTTCTGTTTTGTGGAGCTGCTCCTGGCTCCCCACTCTGGGCATTGCGACCTAGCATGTGAGGTTGTAGCGGCACTCAGGTTTAGCCTGACCTCCCCTCCATAATGATGGGGTGCCCGGGCCAAATCTGAGTCAGTGGTGCTGCGACCTTGTGCATCGCTCTGTTTGGGGGCCCTCTCAAACAGAACCAGAGGAAACCTGCCCCTTTTACCCCACCCCAGATGGCTCTGTTGGTTGCCCTTACTATGCATTGACAAACTTTAACATACTTGGATTTTTAAAATTTGTTTGAAAAATACCTCCTGTTCTGCATCATGCCCTACATGTGACCAGGTACAGATCTGGAGTGACCTTCCTTAAGCTCAAGAGTAAAGGGTCTTCTACTGAGACTGTCCCTGCCGCCAGTTCCCCATGAGTTCAGCATTGGGAACTGGAGTGCCACAGCACACCGAAGCTACCAAGGTGAGGCATAGAGGACATCTCTTTGCATGGAGAATAACCACTTGACTTGTATCCAAAAGCAAATGGACAGCCAATGCAGAACGCTGAGAACAGAACTTACATACTCTGTCTGAGACAAGCAGCAACATTCTGCACTAGCTACAGCTTCTGAATAGTCTCCCAGAGTAGGCCCCTAGAGTACACTGCAGTACTCCATCCTGTGATTTCAAGAAAGTATGATGACTTTAGCAATGTCTGCATCAGGGAGAAAAGGTCTGTCTCCTGGCCAGCTGAAGATAGAAAAACGAGCTTTGCGTCACACTTATTAACTGGGAATACAGAACAGTGATAAGTCCAATAAGATACTGAAACTGCAGACACCCCAAACAGAGGTTGCAGACATCGTGCGCCTGTCAACAGCTAGAGATGCTTCCCTTAGTAAGATAACCTCACCAGAGTTTGGTTTGTACTGAGCCTCAGCTAAGTCACTGTTGTACTAGAACCAGGCAGAGTAGGTCATGAAGCTCTAAAAAAAAGTTAAGATTGGTCTGGTAATATTAACTCACCTGCATTGCACATCCTGTGCATTTGATGGAATTCAGTAACATGCAAGTAAAGCAGTTTTATTTAGCTTGGGAAATTGAGAAATTACAAAGGTAGCCACAGTAATATTGTTGGAACAAATTTAACATTTGGCTTTAATTCTTTCAACTGTAGCTTTGCATTAACTCCAGTAATTATTTTAATTTCCTAGTTTTGAAAAGGAAAAAGTAGGAGGGGAGGAAAAGAGAGAAACTGAAGGAAATTTGCTTGCAAATACAAACTCTGCCCTGGTGTCACTGGCAGATCTTAAATTCTCTTAATCAACCAGTTCAATTAGCTCTGCATCTGAGTATTGGGAGGGGAGGTGAAGAATAATCTTCCCTTAAAGTATGATTTGTAAAAAATGAGTGAGTGCAGATATTCTATCTGCATCTTCATTCCTTTTGTATAAATCTTTGTATTAAAGTACCAATTCATTGTGCTACGCTTCCAGTAGCTCTGACCCAACCTATACCTATTCTCAGTCTCCTACACTACTCCCACTTCCTGTGCTCTACCCTAGTTTGTTTTGACTGCTTCCTTTGCTCATTCCTGGCTCCTGCTTCCTTCCATGCAGCCCTCTACACTTCAAATAGTCTCTCGATAAATATTTACACTCCTGAAGACCCACCAGTTCTGTGAAGCATTGCAGATCTGTTTTTGTTGTGTACAGTTGTGTATTGTACCTTGTAAGTTTATACTGTAGTTCTTCAGAGGAAGGACTCTGCTATATGGCATTCTTACACTTTGTACATTTTCATGCATTTATGTTGCTTAGCCCCTCCAGTTATACATTTAGATAAATGAATACGTTCGACCCTCTCTTTTCAGTATGATGCTGTTCCAATCCAGTCGAGTGTGGTTATATGTTCCTGCCCATCCCCATCAATGGTGAGGAACCAGACAGATTCCAGCACTCCATCTGTCATTACCACCTGTGGCAGCAGACAAGGGTCTAACATGGAGGGAACTGCAGCTGAATCAAGGTCTAGTTCAAACTCCCTACAGCAACATTCAGGACAACAGCCTCCACAGCCTCGAAAAAAACGACGTGAGGATTTCAAATTTGGGAAAATTCTGGGTGAAGGATCTTTCTCAACAGTGAGTAATACAGCTATTTTTCAGCTCCTTGCTATATTGGTTCAACAAAAACATAACTACAGAGTCATAGAAAGGAAGTGGTGGTGGAAGGGACCTCAAGAGGTCATCTAGTCCACCCCCCCCCCCAAGGCAGAACCAACTGTACCATCCCCAACAGGTGTTTGTCTAACCTCCTCTTAAAAACCTGATGAGTGAGATTCTACCACCTCATCTGGTAACATATTCCACTACTAAACAATCCTTATAGTTAGTTTAGATATTAGGAAATACTTTCTAACTATCTCTTGCTGCAGATGACACTGATTATTTCTTGTCCTACCATCATGGACATGGAGAACAGTTGATCACTGTCCTCTTCATAACAGCCCTTAACCTATTTAAAGACTGCTTTCAGGTCCCCCACAACTCTTCTTTTCTCAAAATTCAAATGTACACAGTTTTTGTTTGTTTTTGTTAAACCTTTCCACAAAGGTCAGGTTTTGTAAATCTCTTACCATTTTTGTTGCTGTCCTCGGCACGCTCTCCAGTTTGTCCACATCTTTCTTAATATGTGGAATCCAAAACTGGACAGATTCCTCTAGCCGAGGCCTCACCGTTCCTGTGTAGAATGAAAGTTACTTCCCATGTCTTACATATAAAACTCATGTTAATACACACCAGAATATTGGCCTTTTTCACAACTGCTTCACATTGTTGGCTTATGTTAATATGTGTTCTGCTATATACCCTCAGATCCTCTTCTGCAGTACTACTGGTAAGCCAGTTATTCCCCATTTTGTATTTATACATTTACTTTTTCCTTCTAAAGTGTTGTACTTTTTACTTGTCTTCACTGAATTTCATCTTGTTGATTTCAGACCAATTCTTCAGTTTGTCAAGATCCTTTTGAATTCTAATCCTGTTCTTCAAAGTCCTTATTACCCCTTCCAGCTTGGTGTCATTCAGATTTTATTAACTTACTCTCCTCTCCATTATCCAAGTCATCAATAAAAATGTTTAATAGTACCAGACCCAGGACAGGCCCCTACAGTGTCCCACTAGATATGTCCTCCCAGTTAGACTGTGAACCATAGAAAACTACTCTGAGTACACTTTTTTGACCAGTTTTGCACCCATGTTACAGCAATTTTGACCACATTTCCCTGGTTTGCTTTTCAGACTATCATATGGGACTGTGGCAAAATCCCTACTAAAATCAAGGTATATCCCGTCTACTGCTTCCTCCCAGTGCACTAGGCCAGTAACCCTGTCAGAGGAAATTAGGTTGGTCTGGCATGATTTGTTCTTGACAAATCATTGTTGGCTACTTCTTTATCTTCCTGTTATCCTCTTTGTGCTTACAAACTGATTAATAATTTTTTTCAGTATCTTTCCAAATAATGAAGTTAAGCTGACTGGTCTATAATTCTCTGGTCCTCATCCCCTATTTAAAGATAGATACTATGTTTGCCCTTTTTCAGTCTTCTGGAACCTCATGTATTCTCAAAGATAATGGTTCTGAGATTGTTTGTTTGTTTCAGCTAGTTCCTTTTCGTACCCAAGAGTGAATTTTGTCAGATCCTGCCAACTTGAATACATTTAACTTAGCTAAATATTCTTTAACCTGTTCTTTTCCTAGTGGCTTGTTTTTTCTTCCCCCTTGTTGTCAATAGTAATTGTATTAAGCAGCGGGTCACAACTGACTTTTTTTAATGAAGACTAATGGATATTTTGTGTCAAACACCTAGTATGACTTCCTAGATCTGGACTCTCTTTCTACATTAGTAATGATAATGAGTAACATTTTGTTCTTTGATTTTTTTTTTCCTTTTATATTTGAATAAAGATCACTTCTGACAGCATTTGAGTTACTGAGCAATTTGCTTAATTATTGCAGGATCCTAGTACTGGCTGTTACAATGGAAATAGGCTGTCAAACTATCGACTTACATTCTTATACTGCACCCATCACTGCCTTCAGCACTCTGGTCAGGCCACGCGTGCAGACCAGTAGATATTCATATGCTCATAATTTCAGTTTTGTGAAACTGAAGCAACACTTTGTCCATTTTTGGTTTTTGTAAAGTTACTATCCTTTAGTTCCCACAGAAACTCCTTGGGTGAGTTTTGAAACTTCAAATTTGGCATGTGAATAAAGTCATTGAGAAATTTATCCTCAACCAAGTTTGGAAAAAACAATGGTTGAATAATTGTTGGGTGTTAACGAGTGCCAGTTTTCAGTGTGCAGTACAAAATGTCATTAAGTTTACACTTCAAGAGGTGATGTTTATGCCTGCTGCATCCACTTTTCAACTCCCATAAAAAGCACCCTTCTGCCTTTAAAAGACTTGAATTTTAAGTTTTCAGAAGACATTGTATCCCAATGTGTGTTTTTAGTGGCTTAAGCACTTATAGTGCCATAAGGTGGTGGAGTGTCTCATGCTCTTTAAAATATTCAAGATTTACTTTAATCTGGTCTGAAGGATTTGAACTGGGTTAGAGGTTCATGCCATTGTAAGAACTTAATGCACCTCAGAGCATGATGCCACTGTAAGGATTTCAGTTAAAGTTCTTGTTCTACCTTAATTTTATTTTTTAAAACCAAGTGCACCTACACAGGAAATGAATGGTTGCATAGATGCTCACTAAAATCTGGAAATCCTAATATAAGAGTTCAACAGTAAATTAACTTGGCAGGGTTACACACAACAATTTGTTTCCTGATTTTAAATGCGTAGTTTAATATATTACTGACTGACTTCTAGTAAAATGTGTAGGAAGTGCAATGTGGCAGAATTACTGTTGCAGTTGGGACCTTAACTTTGTGACATGTTTTCCAGTGTTAAAGTTCCATTAAAGTGGCTTTTTCATTATATAGATCTAATATTACTATAAGTGAGTAAGTGTCAATTTGGCTACACAAAGCTAAAGTTTTTTAAATTGTTTTGATTTATGGCAATCTGTTGGCTTTTCTCAGTCATTGTAAACTTCTCATATTTTTGTTATCAAGGTGGAATTGGCTGCAATGTGGAGATTGAGAGATCAATGTAAATCCCCAATTCTGCAAGCATTTATGCATGTGTGAGTAGTTCCAGTGATCTCAGTGGGACTATTCACATGTGTAAAGTTATTAAAGTGCATTTTTGCAAGATCGAGGCTTATGTTTTATATTGTTTCTTGACTATTAGCTAACTTGACTATTCTAATACAAATATAAATATTTGCACTCCCCAAAATGCAAAAAGCTAGCTCTATATATCTGGGCATGTTGATATTTAAGTATTAAGTAATAGATCTTGAAAAGAGCTGGTTTAGTAGATTTCAGAAATGTTGAAATTATGATAGAGCTGGGGTAGGGGAAGAAATTTTGCAAAAAAAAGAAACAAAACACCCCACTTTCTGACCAAATCTGATCATAAATATTGTAGTCTGAGGGATACATGTTTTAAAGATTGATTGTTGTATGTTAATCCTATACACAGAAATAATCTCTTTGAATTTTTTTATTATAAATGCATAACTTTTAAACCTTGAGTGTTTCTAATCTGACTTCTCACTGATCTGCTTCTGTCAACTTCAGACCTCTTACACTCAGAAAATAAAAAAGTGAACAACCCTCCTACAGTTTTATTGAGAAGTAAACTTTCAACAAAATGCCCACTTCTGGAGCAGTGTAACTCTGTTTGCATAAACCTATTCAGGGGGTGTAAGATGGCTGGCCTTAAAAAAAAGTATAATACTTTTACTTAATAGCATGTATTTGAAATAAGTTAAGATGTTGGAGTATTCTACTCTAACTAAAAAAAATTTGGCATATGAACAAGCATGATATGATGGTAGAAAATTTGGTGTAGATTATGTAAGAACTAGATATAGATTATATTCCTCCTAATGCATTGTTAGAAACCTAATATGAAAACTAGTTACTGGAACATTCTAGGTATTCTGATGTAGCAGAGACGTTCTTGCTTGTATTCAGGCAAGGAGACACTGTGCATTCTAGCTGTTGTGTTTTGTGTGTGTATCTGATCAAAACTCTATTAGGATTCCATACAGACTGTAAATTCACTTGCATTTCACTAACACATTCCCTCTGAAACTTTTTCTTTTCAAAAATTTGGAACCATTGTCTTGAAGGCCTCTTCCCCCCCCTCCCCACCCTTCACCTCTGCTGTTTGGAACTCTTCCACTCTTCATCAGTGAACTGTTTTATCTTGTCAAATTGTAGGCTACACTGAAAGCCTTTCTGTTGCTTTTAACTCTTAATCTTATGGATAAATTGATTAAAGTGCTCAAGGACACCATGCAGGACATGGAAACATACTATGGCAGTCTTTTTATATACTTAAAAATAAATAAATATAAATAACTTCAGGAAATATTTTTGCTAAATTTGCCTGAAACACACATCGGGGACGCATGTCTTCTTGTAGAAAGATCATCAATGATTTAGTGTAGCATATTATGTCGTAACCCATATGATTCCCTGAAAAGGAGAATAAAATCTAGTTTATTGATTACCCGATGGTGTTTGTCAGCCCCTGGTTCAGCAAAACACTTAAGTGTGTAATGAACTTTAAACACATTGACTTCAGTTAAGCATGTTCTTGAGTCCCATTGATTTGCTGATTTAGGGCCATGATGTGGAGTGTATATGGAAAGGGGTGCATTAAACATCTATGGGCATAGGGATTGAGGTTAATACAAAAGTCAAACTGTGACTGGGAATGAAGAGCAAGCTGGCATCCTTGTATATCTTTTTAATGAACCAGTTACATTGTGGGTTTTTTTCCCCCTAAACCAGGTTGTCTTGGCTCGAGAATTGGCAACTTCCAGAGAATATGCCAGTAAGTAATGATTCCTTCAAGCTAAATGTTTTAGGCATAACTTTGAAATAGGTATCTTTAACTATATTCACTTTTTAAAATATTCTGTTACCTCCTTCCCCTCTAATGATGGGGGAGAGAGAGTGGGAGCAACTGTTAATCAGGGAAGTTTGGCATTTTTTAGAGCATCACTGTTATCTAACTAGTCAGTTTGCAAAACTGCTTCGTTTACAACATGCCTTGTTTGGGCTCGAGTCCTCTGAATTTTCATTGTTCTTCTTCGTCTTCAAGTTAAAATTCTAGAAAAACGTCATATCATAAAAGAAAATAAGGTCCCCTATGTGACCAGAGAGAGAGATGTAATGTCCCGTCTGGATCACCCTTTCTTTGTGAAACTCTACTTCACGTTTCAGGATGATGAAAAGCTGTGTATCCTTTTGAATTAAATATTTATTGCAAAGTGTTTGAAAGTAGCAAGTGAATTATTTCATTCAAACCTATAGAACTTTACTGGAATAAGAGAAACATGGAAAGAAACTGAGCAGCACTTTCTGCGGTGTGATAAACTCTTTAGCATCTAATCATTATCGAAATAGCTACTTGAATTCTTGAGTAAATATTAAACCACAAATATGCCAAGTATTTTCGAACAGGAGGTCTCATGCGTTTACGTAACACTATTTATACATGTCAGTTTAAATAGACCTAGTAATATAGTCTACACCCAAAATTTCATGTCCCTTTAAATTAACACCACATGGCAGAAACTGTATATTTTAAAGCCAGCAGCGTTTTTCCAAGAAACTATTTTTGTGGTCACTTTTTTATATAGGAGCTACCATATTGTGTTCTGCTGCAAAACTATCAAGAGGCAGAACAGAAATAACAAACGTAGGGTTGCCAACTTCCTATTGGCTGAAAACCGGACCCTGAGGCCCTGCTCTACCTCTTTCCTGCCTAAAGGTCCCGTCCCCTACTCTGCCTCTTCTCCCAAGGCCCTGCACCCTCTCTCTCCCGGCTGGATCATCTCCACCTCACTCCCCCCACCAGGTCCAGGACTAGGACAGGAGCTGCCGCAGTCTGATGCAAAGTCTGCCTGCGGGTGGGAGGCAGCCCTGGCTGTGCAGGGGCAGGCGTGAGTTGATGACACTCCTCCCCCACGTTAACGGGACTTTTGGAGACTGCCCAGTCTCCTTTTCAACCTGACTTTCTGGTCGAAAACCAGGCACCTGGCAACTCTATCCTGAACTCTACTAACATCATTAACGCTAGAATACAAATTAAAAAATTAAACTGACTATATCTGTACTTTAGAAGAGATGAACAGGGAAAACTCAGTATTAACCGTATTGGCAGTGTCAAAATTAGTGGGAGAAAATGTTTTTAAGTTGATCTGTTTAAAATTTGTTTTCTTACAATGTTTTACTTTCAATACAGCAGGTAAAACAAAAACTGAACTTTTAAAAAAAAGCTTGGCCATGTTCCTTTCTTATATTCAGTAATTTGTGTCCATTAAATCATCAGAGTTGTTAAGCTTCTCTCATCTAAAATGGCACGTAGAGTAATCTGAATAATGGGGCTAAGGCATTGAAAAGGTTCTGGTTGGGCCTTTTAATAGCAGTTCTTAGAATTACTGTACAAGAGACCTGGCTGGTCGTTGGTTACAGTATGGAGAGGAGACCCTCAGTGTCCCAACAGGAACGTGTAGTCTCCTCCATGGCATCTCTCTCCAACCATTCTTAAAAGTTTGTTTATTTCAAGTTCATTTTATATTGGTAAGTATTCTCTCTTCAGAGCTCTGGAGTCTGAGGTCGCCCTTTTTATTCATAGAACAGGTACAAGACCAAGCTATGGCAAACTTCCCTTTGAGCTTTCTGCTCTGTAGTGGTGCTTTCTAGGGGTGAAAGGATAGATTTAGTCTCCTTTCAGGGCTCATTTAATCATTCATGATATACTTGCTGAAGCTGCCAACGATAGGCAGGATGTAGTAGTCTCTTTTTGTAATGTAAACACCTGCTCACTACAAACTGGGCTGAGACCAGTGCATTTTGTATAACTCTCCAAACGGCAGTCAGACAGTTTCAGCCTGGCCATAACTGGGTCTCTATTTTTGCAGGAGCTAATAACTGTAGGTGAAGTTTTAATCAATTATTTAAGTGATTTATTCAGGTCATTAACTATGTCTCAAAACAGAGGATTTAAGCATCTAAATTACCTTAATTGTGTGCCATAAAAATGGAGAGCAGTGTCAGAAAATGTTGCCTTGGATTAGTACCAAAACAGTTTTGGAATTAGGCTCCACATTCTTCCATAGTTCTTATTCAATCTTATTTTTATTTTAGTCCTCAAAATAAGTTTGAGTTTGATGTTTTAAAATGTCCTAGTGATAATCCTTAACTTTATATTCAGATTTTGGACTTAGCTATGCCAAAAATGGAGAGCTTTTAAAATATATTCGCAAAATTGGCTCATTTGATGAGACCTGTACCAGGTTTTATGCTGCTGAAATTGTATCAGCATTAGAGTACTTGCATGGAAAGGGAATAATTCACAGGTAAGGTACTTAATTGGGATCAACATATTTGCAATGGTATTTAATAAAAGAATAATTTTTTAAAGGCTCACTTGTGATATAGTTTAAATATGACTAAATATGTAGCTTTTGTAAAAAACTAATATAAATGTTTTTTGTAAATATAAGTATTTGCTTGCTGTATTATGAATCAAAATCAAACTGGTGCTTGTGAATAGAGCCCTTCTGCGGGACTGGGATTCTGCGGGTCCTGCAATACCTGCTGCCATAATAGCAGGAGTGGATAAAATGTACTTTGGTATTTTTGCCCACTCAATCCTCCCTGCAACAGATTGTAGTAATTTGCAGGAAAACATTAAATCTGTTGTCAGTTTGTCATAAATAGAATTTCAGCAATGTAAAGCAAGTCTTTCTTTTTTTAAATAAAGGTTTTAATACTTAAATTTAAGCAAGGGATAGAAAGAAGTTTGATTTCCATAACAGGAGTTAAAGTATTTTTTACATGGTTTAAGCAAGATTAGTTTTATTCTTTTAGCAGTAAAAATTGTCTGAATTCCCTTTATATTGTATATACATAAATAAAAAAAATTAAAAAATGGAATTCAGTCTCTCTCATATTTATATAAATAAAATATAAGAGAGAGGCTGAATATATAGTTAACATGCAGGAATCTCTGTCTTGCGGGATTTGTGGGATCCAAGGTTTTTGTGGGTGGGATAAAAATGCAAAAAACAATGGGAATGGGAGTAGATATTGCAGGGCAGGAGCGGGATTTAAGGAACTGTCCTGAGCAGGGATCTGCTTGTGAAGTACAGTGTGCAGGAGACTATATAAACAAAAGTAAAACTGACTTAGTCCAGATTTTATATTTTGTGTTACTACTCAGCTTGGACAAAGAGCAGAAATGGTGAAAAGACAATTTAGGGTATGTCTACACAGCAACTGGACACCCACGACTGGCCTGTGCCAACCAACTCAGGTTTGCAGGGTTCGGGCTGCGGGGCTGTTTCATTGATGTGTAGACTTCTAGGCTTGGGCTGGAGCCCAAGCTTCGGGGGACACAGACAGAGAAAGAGACACCCCCAGAGGGCTCTAGAGCCCGGGGCTCCAGCTCAAGCCCAGAAGTCTACACAGCAACGAAGCAGCCTTGCAGCCCGAACCCTGTGAGCCCAAGTCATTTGATGCAGGCCAGCTGTTGGTTTTTCTTTGCTGTGTAGACATACCCTTAAAGTCTAGTTTAGATAATCTAAAGTGGTGATGAGAACACAGCTAAGGGTGCACTTAATATTTATCTTGAGTTCCTTTTTAAAACTAATTTTGGTTATTATAGGAAAATGTTGAAACTTTCTAAAAGCTTTTAATTGGGTCTCTAAGAGCCCCAAGAGAAGAATTACAATCTTGTTGTTTGGATGAGAATATTCTGTCATGTATATAAAATTGGTTTGCTAACTATAGATAGATTTTACCCCTATTTGACACAATAGCCAAATGGGTAGGGGTGGCTGGGAGTAGAGATTGTACCGTAGAATCTAAAGTTGAGAAGAGACCTATTAGGTCATGTATTCCAAAAGTTCCCGAAACACTTGCTCAGAGTCTTGGAGAGCTGTCTGATCATGTGCTGCTGGCTCTTCTTGTTTCCTGTTATGTTGAACGCTAAAAATACATTTTCTAATATTTTTGCATAGAAACAGTTGTGAATGGGAAGAGGGAGGAAATTGATCCATCCATTCTGACAGAGAGAAGGTGTCCATGAAACACTAGGATGGAATAAACACTATAAAAGAGTTCAGGGGTTCAGTTTCCCAGCCAGTAATATATGTTGTATGGGAGGGAGATTCCAGAAAGGTCAAAAAACAATGCTATTTAATATTTTAATTATGTATAGGGAAGAGGGGCACTGTTTCCTGTATTGTTTTCTTTGTCTTTTATGTAATCACAAGAGTTTTTAAAACGTGTATAAATTTACCTTTATTTATGTATTTCTTTTAGTAGGGCTTTATTAGAAATCTGGCATTATAGGAGAATTGCTTGTAGATATCTTAAGTTTAGAATGCTATGGAGGTAATTATGGACAGCTCAGTACTGGGTGGTGAGATCGAGTTTCTGCTGATGTCACAATCGTACAGTTGACTTTTTTACGAAACCATATTCTATTAAAATGCTTCGAACTCTCTTGGGGTTTTCTTGAACACTTAGAAATATGACCGCAGATAACCAGACATCTTAAAGTGGTTCTACTTTGAAAAATAACTCTGTAGAAATGGCACTTTCTGTTCTTTGAGCTTTTGTCCACATGGGTTCCACTGTAGGTGTCCACACCCCTTGCCTGAGAGTCTGGAATCTTTTAACCAGCAGTGACCATAAAAGTCTTCCCCACCCTGAGTGTGTAAAGGGCAGAACAGCCCCAAGTACCACTCAGTTTCCTTCTCCGTGCCTATGGCAGTGAATTAGAGCAGCACAGAGTCCTTCTGCTTCTCCACTACATCACAGGTACTTGTAGTTTGATAGGTAGTTAGGATTATTCTTAGTACCCTCTGTAGTTCTAAAAGTTCAAGTTGTTGGAGCCCATTGGCCAAAAGAACCCCCCCACCCCAAAACACACACAAAAATAACTTTTTTGTTTTTCCCTTGATACCGTGATTCACACACTGCTGAGTCTTGGTCCCTGGGTTTTAAAATCTGCCTAGCTTGTGACTCGCCCATGCCTGCAAGAGATACTCATGCAAAATGTTTATTCTGCTTGAGGGAGTCTCACATAACTGACAAATATGCACTTTGCACATCATTTTCAAAGCATACTCAAAGAGTTTATGATGCCTGTCTGAAAGTTTTCTTCGCAGAGAAATCTACAAGGAACATATCGGACTCTGAAGCTCCCTTTCTAGAGAATGCTATTCCATTAAAGCCATTGTCTAGCAGTTCTCTGGCTACCAGGGATACCATTCTAGGTGTTAACAGGTCTTCTGCATCCAAGGCTATGCCTTCACTGCATGCTAAGCATGGGGGTAAGCAATTACTGCGTAAGTTAACCAGTGATAGCTTAACCCAGAATAGCATGACCACATTTCCGTGTTGTCATCACTTGCATCCATACTGGTACTGTGTCTGGCTGCACCAAGCAATACAGCTGTCTGGTTACTTCTCCTAAGATTTATAGCACCACTATTTACTATGCCTCTGTTTGCATTCACAGATGTTGTAAGACAACTTGTCTGCCTGCTCTGGTGGTTATACATTGGTACAAGGGCTTGTTAATGGGCCTTGTTGTGTTGTATGAAACACAAGAGAAGTGTGAAGCTGGAGAAATTGTCAGCAGGCAAACTGCAAGATGAATGCTGAGCAGAGGCAGATTAATAGTCTACTTCCAGTTGGGGGTTTATGGGAAGGGATTGGAGGACCATTGTGTCCCAACTGTTGTGACCACTCATCTGCACTGCGGTTACCTCAAGATAAAGGAACACATTAAAACCTACCTCTTTGTCTCCTCTGTAGCTCAGGGAGTGGTGGCTATTATGCTGTGTAGCACTGATAGAAGTGTGTGGCTGTGTGCACTTGGAGAATGCTATGGGAAAAACTCACTGTTGAGCTCAAGTTAAGTCTTCAGTGAAGACAAGCCCCCAAAGACCTCATGCTGCTCTGAAACATTCTGGACTTATCCTTTTTTTCCTTCTCAGGCTAAAGGCAGAGAGACCTTGTATTGGTCAAAGTCTCCAGTAACAACAAAGAAAAAAAATCCAAATTATATTACACGGAGGCTTTCAAGTTGATTTCCTTCAAATCAGACTGGCACAGTGTACCGCCAGACCCTTCAAGGGTTTGTTCCTCTACCTCACAATTACACTAGCAATCTTCTACTGTCCCTACCAGCTCATTGGTACTAATGGCTGTAGAACCATCTATCACTGATTCCTCGGAACTGTGCTTACAGCTGTGTCAGCCACTTCAGTACCAGCAAGCTTGGTGCTGATTACATTGGTACCAGTCCCTATTATTTTGCAGTGATCTTTTATAGCTCCAGTGGACTTAATGATCACTCCAGATCTGGAGACTCCTCTAATGGACTTTCCTCTGTTTTCTATGGGTTCGAAGATAGTTTCTGTACTGGAACCAAAGGTTCTAGACATGAAGATATCCCTTGACCTTCACCACTGGTACCAATGGCTGTCTCTTAGGAGATACAGGGATTCTGTGGAGAAGTTCTACTATTCTGACTCCTCCTCTCTGTTTTATCCTCATTCTCCAAATATGATCCTAGAAAGGGAGGTGAGGAGGAAACTTTCTCATCGGAGGTACCATCTTCTGACAGGTCTCAAACTCCATTGTTTCCACTACTTTGGTATCCCAGGCCTTATTATGGGACACAGTTCTGGTCTTACTGGCCAGGATTGAACCCGCAGCAATTTCCAGGTCCTGACTCTTCTATGTTAAGGTGAAGGAATCAATCACTTCATAAGGAACCATCCTGTACATTCTGCAGGTCAACCTATCATGCAAGAGGTTGAACAGGGTCCTCATTTTGGAGAGGATGAAGGGGAGCCTTTGCAGGAATATGACTTTCAGCCCTTTCTGCTTGCAGTATCCTCTTAATCTCTGGATGACGCAGTTGTTCTGTCATCATCTGCTACAATAGATTTCAGTGCTTTTCAAGACTTGCTTAAGAGGAAGGCCAAGGCTTTTTAGAAATTCCTCTTGAGATGGTTCAAGAGGATTCTCAATCTCAGGGCCATTTGGCCATGCCATTCAATAAGGTAATACTCACTGCAGCTAAAGAACTGTGGCAAACCCCTGCCTCAATTGTTTCAACATCTAAGAAAGCAGATCATAAATGTCAAGTACTTCCAAAAAGGCTTGAATATTTCTTTGCACATCTAATCCCACGGTCGCTTATGGTTACAGGTACCCACAAATGTCCAAGCACTGTGGGCCCCCCCAAGTTGACTCCCAGGAAGAAAGAACCCAAGAAAATGGAGCTGCTTGTTAGGAAAGTATATTCTTCAGCTAGGCCTCGGATGCAGATAAG